CAGACAACAAAAATACCTAGAGTTGGGAGATGTAATGTCTCATGTGAAGAATAGCAAGGCAGCCACTGGATTTTCTTTTCTTCACAGTATCTGCAAGGTATAAGGCCACTAGAAAGGTGGGGAGGGGGTAGGTGATGAAGGGTTTTGAACACCAAACTGAGAATTTTGTATTTGAATCTGAAGATGATAAGGAGCCACCGGAGTTTATTGTGTAGGGGAGGTGACACGGTCAGACCTGAGCTTTAGGAAGTTCACTTCCATAACTGAACAGAGGATGGATTGCAGTGGGGAGGTACTTGCAGTAGGCAGACCCACCAGCAGGCTATAAGGTATCAGGGTCTATACCAGGGTAGTGACATCATCAGAGAACAGATGTTATGTGAGAGATGTTAGGAAGATAAAATTAACAGGTCTTGGCAAAAGATTGGACCTAAAAGTTGAGAGAGAAGAGTCAAGGATAACAACTAGGTTTCAAGCCTAAATGACTAGTGGCACTCTCAACAGTAGTAGGGAGGTTAATAGGAAGGGCAGATTAATGAGTTCAGTTTCGGCTATGTCAACTTTAAGATGCTTACATTCAATTTGAGGTGTCCAATAGGCAGCCAGAGAAACCAGACCAGAGGTCAGGGTAGAGTTTAGAGTTGGAGAGGTGGATTTGATAATCATCAGCATAGAGATGGTAATTGAATCCAAGGGATCTGATGAGATAGCAAGTGAAGTAATATGCAGGAAGAAGAAGACAGGGCCAATTTGCACCTCTAAGGTTTCATGTGATTCTTCTCGTGGCTTACCAGTGACTGTTGAAGCCAGTGTGTGGAGAAAAAATGGCATTACCAATTGGGTTGATGTTGTGATTAAAAGTAGTAGCGTGTCCTTTGAAAGAGGGATAGTATAAAATATGGGGCATATAAGGGTCTGCTTTGTTCAGCATAATAAACAAATTAGGTAGATTTTTGAAACAACAAATTTTATGAAACAACCACCTCTAAATAAAAAACAAAATACTACAATACATCTGTCAATGGCATTGATTACTTACTTCTAGCTCTGTCACTTTGCCTAGATGAACTTAGGTAAGTTTGAAGCTTTTTACCAGCTAACAGATTTCCTGGAAATGCAAGGAAAATAATCAATCTATAGATGATCCTAATTATTCCAGTGCTGATTGGGATAACCATAAAAAGGAATGTATTCTAAAAAAGGGCAGGATTGATTTCTTAGGCCATCATTTTTTCAATGGTCCAAAAATAATATGGTCTAAACCAGGCTAGAAGCCAATTGTGATAGATACATCTGAAGTAGTTGACGTTTGGATCTATCGATTCAACTGCTATGAGAGGAAGCTGTGACTCTTATCGTGATTTTAAGAAAGTAGCTTTTACGTGTATGACTATGTAATGTCCTAGAGGTTGAATGAGAGGCCGTGTACTTTTCTACAATGAACAACGTAAAGAGGGAATTTGGCAGTGACGGGTTTATTGGATCAATGCCAGTGGTAATTTCAGATAATTCAGGACCCCAAATGCTTAAGTAATATGCATTGCTTTACTAGAACAATACCTGCCAAATCCCTCTTCATCTTGTATACCGTAGATTCACAGATGTATCCTCATAATGTAGTAGGAAGCTTACTGGACATGGAGTGAGATCAACATCTCCCTGAGCCTCTGTCTCCTCAAGTATAAAATTAGTCGGGTGATTAGATCATCTCTGAAGTTCCTCTAGTTCTAATTTTTCATGGTTTCTCTGAAGGCTAAAATTAAAGAATTGTTCTTCACAGAGCACAACAGATACAAATTACATTAAAATCAAATAAGTTTGACATTTGACATTTGAAAGGTAATGCCCACGAAATTTTTCTTTCTAGAATTATAATCCCATTACAGACCTTGATAATGTAGTACCCTCTCTGGGGCCACTTCCCCAATGATCATTTTCATTGGCAGTTTGTGACCCCCAAAGGTGTTCTAGGGGTAAGCCTGATGTGTTTCTACTATCATCTCTCATGAACATCCACTGGTGTATTCCTCATAACCTGTCAATCAGTTGACTCCATTAGCTTTTTAAAGATGGATTAACTGAGAATTTGCTGTTGGTATAAACATTAAATAAATAAATAAAATATTCCTTCCAAACTGTGGGACATACTCTTCCTTTCATACACAAGGTCCCTGGGGAGAATAGGCTCAAATTTATGATATAATGGTAGTGAGAAAACTGTATGGAGAACACATGTGGCCAAGGAATACCTCTCACCTGCTGGCCCTAGAAGTCCTTTTCTCCCTTTGTGGAGTCTGCCTAAAATTCCCAATAAATATGTATTAAGTACCTACTGTAACCCTAGGCTGGGTAGGTCATCTGTTCCTGGGCCAGGCTAATCTTCTGAATAGGTCACTGGGCCTAGTCACTTCACTGCTGCTGGTTTTCTCTCTCTGTCTTCTGCCTGAGAGCTGAAGAAGGGAAAGATGCCAGGCTTAGTTTCTGATGGTCATCCTTCAATCTCTCCAGACTTTTTATGCCCACATGGCTGCTGACTGGTCACGTCCTTCTCATAATTGATGTTCACTTACCTCCTGACTTCTGTGTCTACTATTAACCAGACTGCTAGATTCTGCTACAACTTTAGTCACTGGTAGTGGGACCTATAAAGGCTCCTGAACTCACCATGTAGCCTGGATGCATCTATTTCAGAACATCTTTTTCACTTAAGTTCAGGAAAAGATAACTACACTAGAAAGAGAGATATCATATGCTTCTTGACACATACTGGCTGGGTAGATGAATGCGGCTAGCTGCCTTTCCTTCTCCACAGCTTAAAGTAGTCCTTACTCAAAGCTGCTAAGGAAAGCGAATGAGAGCTGAATGGGTCACATCTCTTGTAGGTATGCTAAGTTCTGGCTTAGCAACTCTTGAGCCATCAGTTCTTCTAGTTGTGAAGCCAATTAGAAATTTTTCCTTCCTTACATGGTACTCACCCTTGAGGCACACCTGGCTAGAAATAAGCTTCTCAAAGTTTCTACGTGGCTGGATTAGAAATGGACATAAAATATCTATGCAAGCTTCCACCCCTCCTACAATAATAACAAAACTCTTTAGCCCTACCCAATTTTTTTTTCAAGGTCCTCTATGATTTCCCTAAACTAATGAAATCATGAGTCTAATCTCTAGCCCTAGCTCCAAAATAAGGGGGAAAAAAAGTGGTATATATGTATAGGTATAAAAAATATATATCCACACACATATATTTGCTGAGAATATGAACCACTATCAAAAGAATGATACTCTCCAAGTAACCTCAATAGTATGTTTTCTAATCATCAATATTAGAATTAGCTAATTATATATTTTCATTGTCCTCTAGAATCATCCTCTACATTTCTTCAGGTACTATGAAAATTTTTTTTGTCAGTACTTTTGGATGTCTTTTGTCATTTTTTTTAAAAACAGGTTTTGTGTTTTCTTTTTTCCCCTAAATTTTAATATTTTATTTTTTCCAAAATACATGTAAAAACAAATTTTAACTTCCATTTTTTCAATTTTGAGTTTCAAATTCTCTCCCATTCTCCCTCCCCTTCCCCTTAATTGAGAAGACAAGCAATTTGATAAAGGTTATACATGCACAGTCATGAAAAATATATTTCCATATTAGTCATGTTGTAAAAGAAAACACAGATCCCATTCCCCCTCCTCCCCCCAAAACCCCCCAAGAGAACAAAGAAAGTAAAATAACAGTACACTTCAATATGAATTCAGATTCCATCAGTTCTTTCTCTGGAGGTGGATGGCATTTTTCATTATAGGCTTTTGTGTTTTCTGAAAGCAGTTTCATCATTTTCCATTAGCTTCACTTAACTTCTATTCTGATGTATTTATTAATTGATCATTAAAAATTATTTGTCAAATGCTTTCCTGATAATGCTATCTACAAATTAAGAACTAAGAGATAAGAACTTTTACATGTTTTTCTTAACAAAATATAGGTCGATTATGATTAATGGGAATGTGTATCCATGGTCATCCACCTCTCAGAAATTTGGTATGAAGTTGACATTTCTAATTCTGGTATGTTTATGGCTTTAAAGAGGAAGCAAGTGGGGAGAAGAGAGGAAGAAAAAGAGAAGCTGCTCTAGCTCAAAAACATCTTCACTTCACCAATGATAGGTTCATGAAGATCCTCTTTTAAGTTGGAAATGCCCTCAGTCACATTAGGGTCTGATTACTCTAACCAGATTCTTTCCTTCTATCTCACAATTTAGTTCAGAGGCTGTGGAGTGAAGAGATCACTAAGTGAAGATAATACAGAGCTGAAAAGAGATGAGAGATGTAGAACCAGTAAATGAAATTGAGAAGAAATGGTCAGATATGTAGAAGGATAACCAAGAAGGAGCAGTTTCAGAGAAAACTAGGGAGAAGAGAATATTTACGAGGATGTTATCAATGGCATCAAATGCCACAGAAAAGTCAAGAAAGATAACAATTGAGAAAAACCCATTAGTTTTGGCAATTAAGAGCTACATTGGTAACTTTGGAAGGAACATTTTTGTGGAGAACTTGGTTGGTTGTTGTCCTTTGTTTTCAAAGAGGACCAAAATGGCATCACCGTGCTAGGGCACAGTACATCCAACTGTGGCTTAGAAGGTCCCACCACAGGCTGGGCACAAATAGTTCAAATGAATAATGGAAGTAGAAAGACTCTTAATTTGCTCATCCCATCTTTCTTTTGAGCTACTGCAATTCTGCTTTGCTCATAGAGCACAGCACCTTATTTGATGCAAAAATGCCATACTGTGTGGTCCTGTGCCAGTGAAGGGAAAGAGGAATTTGGAAGGTGGGAGGACTACCAAATGCAAATTTTGCCCTGGGCTCTACTGGCTACCTGCACTATAAACTGCCTCTGGAGCTGCTTTTGGCATGAATACTGGAAGTGCTAGTGCCTGATATAGATTATGAAAGAAAGCTTATCTGCAACACCAAAGGAAAGACTTACTGGCAGTTTTATTTGCTTTATTTGTTTTATTTAATATTATGGATAGGTAGTTAAAGCCCGGTAACTTTTCATAAAATGTTCAATCATTTAACAGTTGATTTTTTTGGCTAGGACATATATTATCTTATAGTACAGCATACATCATTTTATTGTCTGAATCAATCTGCCATTTCAGGTTTTCCAAATACCATTCTGGGAATTTTGGTATGAATTCCCATACCAGTTTAACTTCTTTCACTGCCCTTCAAAGGAAGAATGTTGCTGTGGAAGGAAATACAGGAAATGTAGTGATATCAAAGTGAGAATTTGTTTAAACATAAGGAACAACTTTCAGGCTGGTAGAGTGACTAAATACTAGAATCCAGTCCAATCCAATAAGCATTTATTGAGTGCCTATCATGTGCAAAGCACAGAGACAGCATGGCATAATAGCAGGGATGTCAAATCAAATAGAAACAGGGCTATTAACCTTACATAAGGATCTCTGGGGACCACATATTGACACAGAGAACCACATATTAACATTATCTATGTTTCACTGTATTATTTTCCTATTACATTTTAATCTGGTTCAGGCCTCACTCAGGAGTGCTGCTGACATAAGGAAGCCAGGGGGTTTCATATCTCTGGTAAAGTGGAGAGAGAAATGGCCTTAGACTCAGGGCAAACCGGGTTCAAATTCTCATTCTTCTGACTTACGCTGTTTATATGACCCTGAGCAAGTTAGTTAATCTCTCAGTGCTTCCAAGGCAGTTCTCAAGGACTATAAATTACAAAATGGTTGCTGACCTGCATTGGTAGATGAATCTTTCCCACCAGGAGTTCTCTATAGCAATGTAATCAGAGCTCTAGTGATTTCTAACATAGGTCTGAGTGCTGGGAACACAAAGAGAAAAACAGCCGTTGCTTTCAAGTTTATATTCTATTTTTTTTGGGGGGTGGGTGGGGAGATTACCAGGAGAGCCCCGGCATCAGAACAATGAGACTGCTTCCCCAAAATGGCCTCATGCCAAATCCTACCCCAATAGGATCTTTCCTTCCCAACAGCACAGTTCTGTCTACTGTCTCTGCCTTTACTGGCCACCCCACCCTCCTTTGTGGAATGTACTCCTTCCTCACCTTGACTTCAAAGAATTCCTCACTTCAAAAACAGACCAATTCCTCATTAAGCCTTTTCTGATTTCCCAACTGCTAGTACCCTAGCTTGTACTGATTTTGATTCTATTCTATATACATTTGTTCTGCACATTCATATATAAATATGTGTATACAAAAAATACACAAATAGGATTGTGCTGGCAAATGTTTAACAACCATTTCTCAAAAAAAAAAGATAAACTTTTAAGTGTAATCTTCATAATTAATATTTTCTCCATCACTTTCTTAAGGCTACAGACAATCAACAAAACAATAAATCAAACCTTGATTCGTAGCATTTGATTCTATCTGATGTATAAATGCTCATGGCGAAAATTTAACAATCAGGTCTCTCCTGTTTGACTTGGCTCTAGTATACTTCTGTGTGCATACACATAAATATATATTTATATACATTCAGACACATCTCATCTCCTGAATTAAAAGAGCAAGCAATTGCTTTATGTCTTTGTTTCCCTAACACCTAACACAGTGTTTGGCACACAGTAGTTGCTTATCAAATGCTTAATGATTGATTAGATTTACCAACAGACAATTTCTTTTCTTTTCTTTTTTGGAGGCAATGGGGGTTAAGTGACTTGGCCAGGGTCACATAGCTAGCTAGTAAGTATCTGAGGCTGGATTTGAATTAAGGTCTTCCTTACTTCAGGGCCAGTGCTCTATCCACTGCACCTCCTAGCTACCCCCCAATAGACAATTTCTAAGGTTCCTTCTAGCTCTATGATTCTATGATGACGTCGAGATTCTAAAAAACTTGGGTATTATATGAAGTATTGTGTAAAATGTTAAAAATCTATCTTCTGTTTATTATTATCATTATTATTATTCTACTATAAAAAGGTTACTTACCATGTAACTTTTCCTCCTAGTTCCAATCTTACTCTGCCTATAACATTCATGTTACTGTTTTCTAGTTGTACTGTTGTAGTTTGTACTTGAGAAGGTACAACCTAAAATTCTCTCTATAACTCTTCTGTTTTCTTCTTTAAAAAAAAAGAATAACTGTCTTTGGTCAAATTAATGCAATTTATATAATCTGTCCTTCAATATTCATTCACCTCCATTCTTGAAATAGATACTCTCAGATGTAATCTATTATTCCCTGAAAGATCAATAGTCAGTCAAGTCAGTATTTCTGTCTTCCAAATACTGTATGGTATCACAAAGTTTTAGAGTTGGAAGGGGCCCTTAGAAATAATGATATCCAATCCCAGTATTTTGGAGATTAAGACTCTGAAGTCTAGAGATATGACTTGACTTCCCAAAGATGACAAAACTAGTTATTGGCACACATTCACTTAACTTTATCATGCTAAGGGAACATCGTTAAAACTCAAAAGACCTGATAAAATTGAAAAAAATTTTTTTTGGCTCAATGACAACTTTCTCCATCAGATTTATCTCAATTGTGTTTTGCTTAAATGATTATTCAAGTTATTTTTGCATTGCCTAAATTCGTATCAAGGGAGGCTGGGTGTGGGCTGCTGGAGGAAGGAGATAATTTAGGAATGGGCTTAAAGACTGATGAAATCTGCTATGGGGAAAAGACAGTCCACCAAATAGATTATTGAAACTGTCTACTTGTGGATAATTCCAAGACAGAACTCTTTGGTGTGGTATCCTGAAAATCATTCATTTAAAAAAAAAGATCACCTGCTATGTACAACACTGCTATGCTAGGTACTAATAAATATTGATGTTTGGCTAGAAAGATAAAAATAAGCTGCGACAAAAGTTCCCTAATATTTCATGTCTGGATCAGAGAGGACTTAGATTTGGATCATCCCTGGGCTCATCCAATGCCTAAACTGAACCCAGACAACACATATTTGGGCTCATTTGGGCCCTAGATCAAATCAGAACCCTGGGTCTTTAACTCTCAGATTGGTTTTGGAATCATCAGTGCCTTTGTTGAATAAATAAGTGAATGAGGGAGTGAGGGAACTATTATTGGTTTGGAAATGGACCTACAGTCAGAGAATAAAAATGGCTCTGAAATGCCAGAGCCAGACCAGAACTGACCTCCTCTTTATGACTGGGGTCACTGAAGCTGCTTGGCACTTAAAAGTGTTGGTGCTCATGGGATTGGAGGGGCTCAGCAACAGCATTTGTGATGTAATAAGTATGCAGCTGGAGTGGGGTGTAGAAGAAGTGAGGACTCCAGTGCCGGGTAAGTCTGTCTTTCTAGGGGTCTACCATTACCTCTGCACTTTTACTTTTGTCAGACTTTCTCCTTTATTTACCACCCCTGCACACAAACCCACATTCTGTCCTTTCTTAGTATCAGTCTACCTATCCTTCAAAACTCAGGTCACATCCCATCTCTTCTTGATCCCTCTCAACTTCTCATTGGTTTTTCACACTTTCAAAATTCTACAGCATTTAATATCTATACCTATCATGCAGTAATTAATCACATAGCCTCCCTTATTATTTGTATTCTGTTGTTAGGTTTTTTTGGAATAATTATCATTGAATTTAAATGTTTTACTTTCCTTTAGTTATCTGAGGGCTTCACGTATTGATATGAACAAATTATTAGTTTGAACAGCATTCACGGTTTTTTTTAGTTTAGGAAAACAATGATTTAGGCTAAACGGGGGATTTGAAGTAAACCAAAACGAATATAAAGAGAAGGAAGCTCAGGATAGTGTAAAAAGCACTGGATTTAGCATCAGACAATCTGCTTTTTGGCTATTTAGTTCCACTAATCAATATTTATGTCATCTTGAGCAGCCTGAGGAGATCCCAGCCTCATCAAGTCCATTTAACTTTTCTGGGCCTTCGTTCCCTAACCTATGCTTCGTAAACTGAGGATATTTTTTAACCTAGACATTTTCCCGGGGGGAGTGGGATCATGGATTCAGACATAGGATAGACTTGTTCAGACCCCTCGCTGGTCTTAGAGATCTCCAAGATCCCTTCAAGCAGCTGTAAATCCTGCGAACGAAAGTGCAGATTCCTTTGGGGAGGACGATTTTGTTTTATGTTTTTTTGTACCGAGCACCTATTGGGGTATCCCGCACAAAAGACCACAGAGTTCACTTAGAAAGTACTTTTAAGAGATTAGGTCAACTTCTCCAGGCAGATGGATAAGGAAACCGAGACCCACAGAGAAGTGAATTTACCCAAGGTCAACCTAGGCAGGTCCTAAACAGCTAAGCTGGGACATCTGACTCCAGAATCAGGGCTCTTGGCAGTTCCCCAGACCACTTGGTTTAAAAAAAAAAAGTGCTTTCTAAATATTTTATTATTTCATTTAATTTGGCCTCCGCCTAGTCCTGAGACCCTTTTCCCTTTTCCTTCGTTTTTTGAGGAAGTTTCTGAAAATGCACCTCTTTGCACAGAATCTTTGGGGCCCTACCAGGCCAAGAGAAGACACCCAATGCAGCTCCCAGGAGCCGCCAACCTAAAGGTGGGAGGAGAAGGGGAGAGTTTGGTTATCTTTTTTTAAATAATGTGCTGACCCACTTCCACTGGGTCCTTCTAATTTGGCTGATTCTCTCAAGACCTACCCCAGTGAGGGGCCGCAAGCTGGCACCCGGCGCTCCCACTGCGGAGAGGAGGAGAAGGTGGAAGTGGAGGAAGAAGAAGAGGAGGAGGAAGAGGAGGAGGGAGGGAACAACCGGGGGCGGAGGTGGAGGCGGGCAGTGCGGCGCGAGATAAACGCGACCTCCCGGAGGTGAGGAAGGTGTCCCTCCTACGCGCACGCGCGGAAAGGGGGCGGGCCCCTAGCGAACGCCAGGGGAACAAGCCCGTTCTTTGGGGCTGCCGACGCAACGTACGGCTCATCCAATGAGCGCGGGCGGGAGGGAGGCAGCCCGTCCCGCTCCCTCCCTCCGCCGCCGCCACGGCCACCCCCCACCACCAGCCAAGGGAGCTCGGGAGGGAGACACCGGCCGCGGCCAGGGCACGACCACCGGGGCCCGGGCCTGAGGACGAGGCAGGGGGAATCGATCGCCCCGACTCCGGCCCCAACCCTAGCTCGCCGCCCGATGTCCACAAGATGGAGGCAGGGGGGGCGGCGGCGGCGTGAAGGAGGCGGGGGTGCCCGTGTCCGGGTCCGGGTCGGAGCAGGTGCCTCGGCAGCGGCGGGATGGAGCTGCTCATGATCATCGCGGTGTCGGCCCTCGTCGGCTCCTTTCTCACACTCCTCGCCCAGTTCCTGCTGCTCTATCAAAGGAGTCCCGAGCCGCTGTACCGGCCGTCCACCGCCGACTGGGGGGTCCACCACGTCACGCCGGTGCCGGGCCTTCACCTCCGCGAGTACCTCTATGGCGGCAGCTCGGGCCGGTCGTCGAAGCCCCCTGAGGGCGGAGGCGGGGGCGGCAGCGGCGGCGGGGGCCCGAACTCGGAGGTGCCGCGCTCCTTGGAGACCTGCTACTTCCTCAACGCGATCCTTCTGTTCCTGTTCCGGGAGCTGCGGGACACGGCCGTGGCCCGGCACTGGATCACCAAGAAGATCAGGGTGGAGTTCGAGGAGCTGCTGCAGAGCAAGACGGCCGGCAGGCTGCTGGAGGGCTTAGGCCTGCGGGAAGTGTCCCTGGGCCGCTCCGTGCCCTACGTCAAGACGATCCGCCTCTTGCAGCCCGTGGTGCCCTCGTTCTCCAACGAAGCCGTGGTCACCGATGGCGCGGAAGACCTCCCGGCCGCTTGCCCAGAGGAGCTCATCTTCGAGCTGGACGTGGAGTACAGCGGCGGCTTCCACCTGGCCATCGACGTAGACCTGGTTTTCGGCAAGTCCGCCTACCTCTTCGTCAAGCTGTCCCACATGACGGGGAAGCTGCGGCTGGTCTTCACTCGTTTGCCCTTCACCCACTGGGCCTTCTCGTTTGTGGAGGAGCCAGTGATGGACCTAGAGGTGCGCTCCCACTTCGAAGGGCGCCCCATGCCGCAGCTCACCTCCATCATCGTCAACCAGCTCAAGAAGGTCCTCAAGCGCAAGCACACCTTACCCAACTACAAGATCAGGTGAGAAAGGTGTGGGCGGCGGGAGACAGGGACATTGCCCGAGGGCAGCTGGGGGAATGAATGCGTGCGTGCATGCGTACAGGTGTGCTGTAAGCTTGAAGGGCATTGCACGGCCACGTCTAGGGTGGCTCACAAACAAGTACAGGTAGCTTCAGGGGCTCACTTATTGCAATGGTAGACGTTGCCTGTGTTACGAGAGTGTTGCTGTGTGTATGGATGAAGATCGAAGATGTCCGTCGTAGCCGTTGTTCACGAGCTGGCCCGGTGCCACAAGAGTTGGCTCTGGGTCGGCCCAGCAACTATTTCTGAATGTGGCCACTGCGTTGAGGGCGGCAGCATCACCAGCTTTTGCATGATCTCATTTTGAGCACTTTGGGAAATTGCACTAGGACAAGATTCCAGGTGTGAAGGGCATGCATAAGCATAAGTAACTGACTTGCACCCTGAGTGTATTTTGTAACTGCTTTGCTACCACTTGTGAAAAGCAGTGTAGATAGTTAGCAGTTAAGGATGCAGTTTCCTTACCTGCCTCCATCAAAATTAATAAGAACCTTTGCAGTTATCTTTCTTGTCTCTCAGGTGTAGCTGCTGTGTAAAATATGTGGGCCATCGTCCTCAGCTCCTTCTCAAGAGCTTACTCTCTGTTGCTGCAGTATATAATATACAAATATATGCACTAGGGCCAGCATGCAAATAACCTTACCTTTGAACGGTGACTTTAACTTTTTCAAGTTCATTTCTAGCTGTTGTCTCATTGTTTTTGCAGAATGATCTCTTTGATTTCATCTTATTTCTCATTTATGGCATTTTCTTTTAATAAGCTTGAAGGGAATAATGTAGAGAAAACATGTATGGGGATCAAATGCACTTCCCATATGTTTACCCTGAGAAGATTACCTTTTTTGGGTGGAATTGGGTGGCTTTTGATTTCATGTTAGTCATTTTTTTAAAGTCATTTCTAAAGTTTATGTTTTTATTGCCAACTCTTAAGCTTTGTATGTAATTTTTTTAAAATTATAGCATAGAATGCTAAAATAATCTGATAATAACATGCATTATAGGATCTTGTGCAGACTGTTCTCTGGGTAACAGCACTTTTAATTCTTTTAATTTGTATGCCCTTTGTCATCCATGTTGTTGTTCAGTCATGTCCAACTCTTAGTGACCATATTTTGGGGTTTTCTTGGTAAAGATAACTCCAGTGGTTTGTCATTTTCTTCTGTAGTTCATTTTACAGATGAACAAACTGAGGCAAACAGGGTTAAGTGACTTGCTTAGGGTTACACAGCTGGTAGGTGTCTGAGACAGGATTTGAACTCAGGTTGGACTTCCTGACTCCAGGCCCAGTGCTTTATCCACTATACAACCTAGCTGCCTTGGTAGCCATATTAGGTCAGTTTTAATAAACTTTACATCAGAATAGTGAAAATACAGTCAGATCTTTATTATCTGACTATTTAAAGAGACAATGGCACAGGTAATCTAGAGCTCTTTTAGTGCTTTGGGATTGTTTTTTGATGGGCAAATATATTTTATGTTAATATTAATTTTTTTCATTTCTAGAACACACTGCCGTCAGATTGAAAACATGAACGTATGACAGATGATAAGTGGAATATAGTTTAGGATTAAAGATTTATGGAGAATTGACTTTATTATGTTGTATACTGTATTAGCAGAATTTTATCATGCTACCCCTGAAACAGGATAAATTAGAATAGATGATCCCCAAAGGGCCCTTTTCAGCTCTTATGTACTTCATGCGAATCTAATTCTGTTCTTTACAATTTTAGGCTTTAATTGTGTAGCTCATAAATCAGTTCTTTTGTTTAACATTAAGTTCTTTATCTTGGAAAGTTGTAGCTCTTGAGTGAGTTTGAGCAAGATTTTGACAATTCAAAAGCAGTATAGTTTTGTAGACGTTGCCCTAGATTTAGTAGACATGGCCCTAGATTTGTAATCAGCATCAGAGATGGAGATTTAGGAGGTTCCTCTGGGGTAATCTAGGCCAAACTCTCCCTCCCCTTCCTCCTCCCTCCCTTCCCCCATTTACAGTTGAGTAAATTGAGGCCCAGGGAAGTTAATTTGTCCAAGACCTGGTTTTTAATCTCGGGGCTGCTCCCTACTACCTACCTCTGTAATCTTACACTTGCCTTGAGACTTAGTTTTGTCATCTGTAAAATGAAATAGCTAGATTAACCCTGAATTCCTTCCATTTCTCAAACCAGTGCTATCCTAAGAAGAAACTTTTACTTTTGTCTTCAGGATAGAAGTAGAAAAACTTTAATTTCAGGTAAATAAAGATTGCCTAAGTAGGCCATTAGTTTTTTACTCTTTGCAAAATGGCATGTGGCAGAGATAAAGCCTTCAAATCTGATATATTCTGACTAAGTCTGGTTTTTAGATAGGTCTCAAAGAAATTAGAGAATTATGACTGGAAAGAGTAGACAGTAAAAGGTAGGCATGATTTAAAGATTTCCTTCAATTCAGTGAACTTGTTTTAAACAAGAAATATGCCATTTAAAATATGGCAAAATTGCTAGAATACTTTTAATTCAAAAGTATCTTTAAACAACAGACAGTTTGAACTGGCTAGGTACTTAGAATTCTAAGACTTGAACTAAAATGTGGTACCTAAATAACATAATAATCTGTGCTTTGTAATTTAAAAGGAAATTTATTAGTTGAGTGCACAAATATTTGTTTTTAGGCAGTAACATAAGATCAATTTTCATTGAATGTGTAGTCTTTGTTAACCTAAAATTTAAGGAAACTGGAATAAGTACTAATAGGAAGCTTGATTCTTTTAAAATGCTGTTAGATTATTTGGTTGCTGCCATAGTAATCCCTGTAGTTTAAACATTGGACAGCTGCAGTTTCTAAATGAGTCTTGCTAATTCATCCATTTAGCTATCTAATCTACTTAATACAGTTAGTTAAAGGAGACTTTAGGGGAGTCATTGAAGAATTTTGAACAGGGGGAGTGAAGTGATCAGATCTGTTCATGAGGAACATTGACTTAGTAGTGGTGCTTGTCAGACAGCTCTTGTAATAGTCTGATAGGTCTTGAGGGTTTAAACAAAAGTGGTAGTGGTAATGGAAAATAGATTTGAGAGATATTACAGGTAGAATTTACAGGCATTTTCACCTCAAACTCTTTTGCTTTAATAACAATAATAATAATAGACAGTATATGAATGCTTAGCTGCCACCTCCCCTTCCTTTGCCCCTCTCAAGTATCAGAGCTAGAATTTGAGCTCAGATCTTTTAACTCCAAATGAATATATTCTTTTACACTATATTACTTTTTTACTCAGTGAATTGCTATGTACTTGTGAGAATTTTTCAAATTTTAATTGTGATAGGAAAAACATTGTAGTTCCTCATAAAAGGACAACATAATAGTGAGTTGAATTAATTTAGTTCCCTCCCCCATCATGTGTATATTCTCTCTCTTTTTCTGTCTGTCCCTCTCTCTCTCCCCTCCCTACCTTTTTTCTCTCCCCCCTGCTCACCCCCCCCCAACCTCCTACCTACCATAAGGCAACATCGTCGTCCCTCAGGCTTGTAACTTAGGAGTCATCTTGGATTCCACACATTTTTTCTCATCCCTCATATCCAATCTGTTGCCAAGGCCTGTCCATTTCAGTTTTGCAACATCTCCTGAATACAGCTCCACTGGCTCTTCTGACACTGCCATCACTCTAGTGCAAGCCTTTATCACTTCATACCTGGATTACCGCAATAGCTTACTGGTGGGTCTGCCTGCCTCGTGTCTCTTCTCACTCCAATCCACCTCAGTTCAGCCATTAAAGTAATTCCCCTACAGCTCAGGTGCAACCATGTCCTCCCCTACTCAGTCAATTCCAGTGGCTTCTCACGGGTTCCAGGAGCAAATACAAAATACTGTTTGGCGTTCAAAACCCTTCATAACCTAGCCCCCTCCTGTCTTTCCATTTTCTTATACCTTACTCCACTGACACGTATTCTTTGATCCAATGACACTGAGATCCTGGCTGTTCCATGAATAAGACCTTCCATCTCTCAGGCTCCAGGAATTCTTTCTGGCTGTCCCCAGGCCTGGAACACTCTCCCTGCTCATCTCTGCCTACTTACTTCCCTGGCTTCCCTTAAGTTGCAACTAAAATCCCATTTTCTACAAGAAGCCTTACCTAACCCCTCTTAATTGCAGTACCTTCCTTCTGTTAATTACTTCCTATTTATCTTGTATATAGATTTCTTTGTATATATTTGCATGTTGTCTCCCCCATCACACTGTAAGCTCCCAGAAGGCTGGGATTGTCTTTTGAACTTCAGGTAGGCTGTGAACAGCTGTGGAAGGTTTTTGAGCAGGAAAATGAACAATAGAACTCTGTTTTAGGAAGATTAATATGGCATTGGGATTTAGGATGGGTTGGAAGACCAAAGTGATCTGTAATTTCATTCACTGAGTATTTTGGTTTAACTCTTAGAACTTTCTGTTTTGGAAGGACATTTCCTTAAAATACCCCAAAGCAGATCTAAGATAAGATATAAATCACATATTTACTTGCTCACTACTTTCCTTCTCTGTTCTCCATATGTAATACTTTTTTAAAAAGTATATATATCTCTTTGCTTAGGTTGGAATATACTAAAAATAATTACATCAGATTCAGATGCCTAGTATTTTTCTTGTTGTCTCATGTAGTCATTGGCTTCTATTTGTTACATTCTAATTTTTCAAGGAGTGTACTGCTTGGGTAAGCTTTTTTATTTCTTGTTCCGACCTATTAATTGCTTTTACAATTCTTTCTTCCTTAGTTATTTCTTTTCCAGTTTTTTCCTCATGTTCTCATTTCATTTGTAAAAAAAAACACTTTCACTTAAAAAAAATTCTTTATCTCTTCTAGCAATTCTGGTTGCTCATGTGCTCAAACTTTGTTTTCTTCTGAAGCGTTACTTGTAGGTGTTTTGGAGATGTTCTCTTCCTCTGAATTCTTGTCTTATGCATCCCTGCC